TATAAAATTGTATTTGTCCTATATTCTCTTCCTTCCTCTTCTGTATCTATATCTTCAATCTTTCATCAGTGTAGTTTGCAAGCAGTTCAACCAGAATAGACTAATTGATAAAAAAAAAAACAATGTCCTGCTTGCATAAAAGTTCAAATCCCAACCCAGGCATAATACAGTCGATTGTCAAGGGTAGCATTGTGAACCAATTCAGCTATTATTCCATGTTGTGGAGCCGATATTGGCGTGACCAAATCTAGTTGCACGGCTGGCTTCTTCCATTGTGGTCGTGGTGTTTGTCAAGATGATCCATTATCTCATCTTCATTTTTGTCTTGCGGAGGAGGTTCTCAACGGAGGTCTACTATATTTATTTGAAACTGGAAAGGTCAAAGCTATTTCTTTCCCTCAACAAGCTAAGATACCCTCTCTTATTCTTTATGCGGAAGATATCATTTCTATAAAGGAACAAGGCCAGTTTTGTGCAACTTACAAGCTTCCTACTTTCTTTGATAAGTGTGACTTAAATTCTGGACAATTTGTGCATAAAGCAAAGTCTCATGTTTATTTGGGTAAGTAAGATGTTCCTTGTCGATCTCTAATTTACTCTTGTTTGAGCATCCCGGGTTGGACTTTGTTTATCTTGGGATTTCAATTTTTGTTAGATGACCTAAAAGAGCCTATTTTCAAGTTTTGGCAAACAAGATTCGTAACTATGTATCTGCTTGGCGTGGCTATTCTCTCTCTATGGTTGGTTGGGAAGGTGATTCCTTATTAATTAATTCTATAGTTGTTAGCATGTTAAGGTGACTCTTTATTAATTCTATAGCTGTTAGCATGTTATCTCACAATTTTTCTATTTATACTTGGCCTAAGACCATATTATTACAAGTTCGCAATTTTATTTGGACATAGAGTACAAATTCTTGGGCCTATTTCCCTGTTTCTTGGAAGACATGTTATGCTCCTTTAAAGAAAGGGGGTCTACGTGTCACGATCCGATCTCAAAATATGTCCAGGATTGACACATGATGTCAGCACATATCAGGACAACCAGATAAAAATCAAGCTATATTAGTACTTCAATAAAATAGATGCACAAAACACCTATAAATAAAGCCAGTAGTCTCACAAAGTGAAGTACCGACAACAAACCATTAATTCAACAATGTTTTATCCTTTCATGTTATTTTATGGCCGCACCTAAGTTAGACTGCTTACGTACCCTAAGACGAGATCAAGCCAATCGTAGCTCACCTTTTTAGTAAGCTAAAAAAAACTTGTATTTGCAATGACTTCACACTCATGGCATTATCTAGCAAGAAAAACATAGAGCTCTATAACCCCTCAATGGAACTCGACGAGCACGATTCATTAGATTCCATACTACTTAACGAACCATCTAACAAGCAGGATTCTAGACCAACTCATCGGATACAAGGTTTTGGACCAACTCGAATGAACCATAGAGAAAGTAGGATTCTAGACTTACTCAATGGAATCCATCAGATATAGAGTTCTGGACCAACTCAACGAGACCACCCATATCATGTGTATGGTCCCCTAATGCGGATTAACGAAGCAGAGCCATGGGCATGCATCTAATAGTGTGGTCATATAATAAGGATTACCTAAGCATGATCACTCCTGAGAACATTAAAATCAAGAGGGTAATGACCACCCAATGTGTATAAACCAAGTACAGTCACCCTAGAATGTGTATAGTCCCCTAATGCGGATCAACCATGTAGGACCATATGCATACAGATTTAAGAATGATTCAGGACTTTTCTCGGTCAACGATACGTAATCTAAATCTACACGTCGGATATCCAATCCATAAATTCCTAAGAGCATCACATTACTCATATAACAACATACTTGAACCACATAATGATCGAATGATCGGATCTTTACCTACCACAAGGCCAAGTGGTGGACAAGTACGAAACTAAGCTCAAACAGTGGAATCACATCAAATGAATATAGGAAACAGATTTAGGGCATTAATATCAATCACATCAAATGAATAATAGCTGAAAAATAAAGTAGTTGAGCATGTTCTTTTTTTTTTTTTTTTTTTTTTGGCAGAAATACTTCTAACAAAAAATCAGTGTTTGACTGTTTGTAAACTTTTATGTAAAACTGTTGTAGCTATGGTAAATGATTAAAAAGAGTATGATGTTGGATGTAGTATAACATATTAATTAATTTTATTATTTATAATTTTTTTGCAATCTCTCTTTCAAGAAGCAGACTTTTTTTCCATCTCTCTCAACTCCCTCATTTTCGGATTTGGTTCCTCTCAGATCCCCTTCTAGAGATCCCAGGAATTAAGACAAAATGATCGTTCATCAAAAATCGTGCGATCATAGTTAAATGCTTTTTATGCAAAACGAAATTGCTTTGCTTTTAAAAATATAAAGAGCATTTAATTGTTACCGTACGATCTTTGACGAATGGTCATTGTGCCTTGTTCCCAGGATCCCGAGAGGATCCCTCATTTTCTCCGTCCCCATGTTCCCTAATTTTTTTTTTAGTCTGATTCTTTTTCATATGAGTGCATGGGACGATTCTTCATCTTCTGAAACTTCATCGCTTGATGGACGAGCATGAAGATTTGAAGGACGACAACGGTCTTCGCATGGAGAGGGAGCAGATCCGCATGATTGGTGCGATCTGAATGGGTGGTTGGGTTCTGTGTTTTTCTTGTTGGGCTTGGTGGTGGTGGCGAGATTTGATCGGAATAGGGATCAAAATAGGGCTGGTTCCCAGGTCGAATCGAAATAGGCTGTTTTTCTGCAGGCATGGTGCGATCTGAAGGGCTGGTTCCGAGGTCGGACACGATTTTTAACTAGTTTTCTAAGATATTGTTGACTTTTACTCTCTAGCCAAATTTGAGCTCAAATCCATTAGTTAAATATAAATATAAATTCATATAATATGATCACACCAACTTCAACCTTGTCAAAGACTAGCTTAATTTTCTACTATGGTATATTAGATATTAAATTTGAAGATTAAATTTACAATCTAAATGATGTGTCATTAATAGCAATAAGCACGTTTATCAACGTTTAAGTAATAAATCAATTATCAACTTTCATATGTTTTAGTTTTCAAAATTTTATCTTCAAATTTAGTTTTCTTAGCATTACCCTTTCTCATAGCCAAAGATTAACCTTTTTTCAACTAAAGAAGACTATCTCTAACCTGTATTATTAAGTAGAATTACGAACTATTCTAAAACAGCAGTTTTCACCATTGAAAAGTTATTATTTGTTCAAATTATGGGATCCCTCAAAATATAGAGCAAAGAGGTTTTGCAAACTATGCTGAAAGAGTAATGCTAAGAAGATTAAATTTGTAGATAAAATTTATAAACTAAATGATGCATCACCAATAGGAAATGAGTACATCAACACCTAAGTAATAATTCAATTATCAATTTTTTTGTCATTTAGTTTATAAAAGAGTAATGCTATTCGTACCGTATTTTTATACCACATTTTCATATCACCTTAGGACATTTAATGTGGACAACCACATGATTTGAAATAATCAGATTTTTAAATTTAGTTCATTATTTAATAAACTAATAATTAAGAAAAACTAGTTAATTAAATGATAATTGTAGTATACGAGGAGTTTTTCTCCTTCATTTCCTTGGGTTTTGCAAATTTTTCAAATGACGTGGCTGTCTACATCAGATGCCACCTAAAGTGGTAAAGTGATATAGAAATGTGCTATAAAAACATGGTATGAATAACATTACTCTTTATAAAATTTGTCTAAAAATTTAGTCTTTCTAACGTTACTTATGCTAAAATAGACCCAATCAAAATTTTTTATAAATTAGGGAGACTAACATAATGGGGGGTATTAAACTGTGCAACTTAGGAGGTGTACTGAATTTGAATTTTTCAACGTCCCTAAAGTTGTAAAAATGAAAATAAAAATATCTCAAAAGTTTTTTAGCAATCCATCATATGCAATTTGCAAAGTCAAGTCTTTGAAGGCACGCATTATTATAACAATCTCCCAAATCCAAAACTTTTATTCAACTTTGCCGGTTTCTTTCATGTGTGTTGAAACTCGGTCAAACTTGGCAGCTACTTTCTCGTACAATATGACTCGCCACACCATATGATGAATCAAATCTGAATTTCATAAATTTTAAAATGATTTCATAATTAATTACCACCATGATTTAATGATAGTTGTTGGCAATCTATGTTAAATCATATAAAACATCACATTGATCTTCTTAAATTTTGATATCAATAAAATATGTACACACACACATCCTTGATGATGTCAAATTGGGGTATACATGAATTGGTTGTATGTTAATGTTATACAATAAATAACTGAAAATAACCCTGCAACAAAGTTTGAAATCAATATTTTGAACTGGAGAGATTTTTCAATGTAGTTGGTACTACGGGGTAGTACACCACGTGTTACTATACAAATGGTAGGATATGTGTGCTAAAAAGTTAATAACTTAAAAAATAAAATTTTCACCACTTCTATTAGAACACGTGGTGTATCACTTGTGTTTCCGTTACAATGAAAAATTCTCTAACAGTTCCAAAACTAGGAGAATTAACAAAAAATATTAAAATACATATGCCGGTTATAGTTTAGTTGGTCACCATAACGTGCTCGTTCGACTCGAGTTTGAGTATCTTTCACTATAAATTAAGTCAGACTAAAATCACGTCTTATAACCTGCGTGGGTTAAAAAGTTAACTAGGATAGTATATCTCAATATTACACTTAAAAGTTTGAATCTTTCTTCTATAAATTTGAACAGTTTAAAATATCGGAATATTAGAACATAAAAAAATAAATATTTTACTAATTCTCACGTTCACACAAACACATGACGCACCAACAAAGAAAAGCCAACCCAATAAAAGAAAAGTCTTTGCCTCCCATTCCCTCCTCATTGTCTTATTGTCATCCTTGCATAGAAACCTTCGAACTCTGTCTGCTTTGTCTCCTCTTCTTCTTCTTCCCATGGAGGATTTCAGATCCAAGTCATGCAGAGATGGGAGAGATGGAAGGATGCAGATGGACGTTTACTATGGAGGCAAACCAGGTGCTCCTCCAACAAGCATGCAGGATCTCAGAAGTTACAGCTCAAATTATGCAGGCTCTTCTGTTTCCCAGCCAAACAGCCATCAGATGGTGGTGAAGGATGGGAAGCTGAAGAAAGGGAAGGGCAGCCTATCCGCCTCGAAAAGCTGGAGCTTGAGTGATCCGGAGTTGCAGAGGAAGAAGAGGGTTGCTGGGTACAAAGTTTACACTGCAGAGGAGAAGATGAAAGGGTCTCTGAGGAAGAGCTTCAAGTGGATCAAGAACACCTACACCCAAGTAGTCTACGGATGGCGATGATTCGATTAACGGGTACTTTGAGAGAAAAGAAGAAGAAGAAGAATAAATACTTTATTGGTTTTTTCTTTTGTATTCAGGAGTTTTTGTTGTTCTGTGCATTTGTGAAGGTTATTATGCATCTGTCTACCAAATTAATTATAAAAAGTAATGGAATTCAAAGATTTGGTTTTAACTTCTTCAGCTAAGCAAGAAAACCTTGGTCTATGATGAATGTTTTCGGGCTTCACTTCGAATTGTTGAAGGTGTGTTGTGGAGATTTGTGTGCTTCTGTTTTTTAGACAATGAGATGTTTTGTTTGCTCTAATATACGACGAGTAGGGGTATTTCAACTTGGGTGCAATGGGGCGGGCATACTGCCGTGACCAACTGCCCTAACCCGCTTTGTATGCTTTGGGTTGATGGTCTGGTTCTGATCTGGTCATGACTTAGATTAAACTCCATAACTTGTCAGGGCTCCTTTCTACTTTTGCATTTCTTTCAATGCTTGCAGGTTTTTAGGTGTACTCAATTCTGCAGTTTGTTTGGAATGTAACCCTGCCGGATTCCATTCAGAAAGATTAAAATCCCTGTATTCGATCTTCTATGTTGCAATCACAAAAAATGGCTCCATTATGGTCTTTGGCACCCTCTAAGTAACTGTCATTCAGGCTACACTGGTGAGTAACTATACTTCTCAATCTTTGTTCTTTTTGAGCTTTTCATGATTTCAGAGAGATGTTTTTGCTGGGAGCGGATGGTGAGGTGTGAATTCAGATGGTTCTTTCATTCAATTCGTCATTTGAGATTGTGGATAAGAGTGGATGGATCAAAAAGGCGCGATGAGGTATAGATTCAGTCGATATTTGATCTAAATGTGTCTTGATGGAGTCAAAATACAGTTTCGATGCTCTAATTATGTTTCAATGAGATTTATATGCTGCAATCTGATGCGATCTAGATATGTTGTTCTAGTCTGTAGACACATCCAAAACAAATCAAGACACAACTCAATATCCAAACTTATCTAAACCACATCTAAGCACATTTAGATCATATCGAATTGCATCTGGACCCTATTATTGGTGTTTTGATCAGGTTATCAAAATTCCAAATCAACTGCATCCCATCTTCGTCCCAGATAGATATCCAGCAGTTAAGAACACGCCACATGATCGTTCATCACAGACTTTCCAAAGAAATCACTCACCTGAAACAAACAGAATCGATAAGGGCAACTTTTATTTTTCAATAGCAGAACTCTAATAACTGAACACCTTTGAATTCATTTCAAGTTGATGATGGCAGAAACAAAAGATAAAACTGTGACTACAGAACATAAACAAGTACTTGATAGGATATAGACCCAGAAATTGTAAGAAGAAACTACCATATAATTCTGAATAAACTGAGTTCAAATTGCAGATATAATTTGTTGGAATCCAATCTGAGTGCGAATTTACAGCGCCACACAACTCTATCCTTCGTTTAAGTATAATCTCTTGGAACAGCGACGTTTGAATACATATAAAACCTCAGGGTATAATGTGAATGCCATAACAAATTAACTTCTGTGTCACCTTCAAACTACATGTTTGTGTGCATAGCCGTTCACAAATCACAATTTACAAGACCGAACAAAGTAAAAGAAATGACGGTTGTAATGTTCAAAGTAGAGCAGGATTTAACTATTTTGTGGCAGCAGAACTTAAAATGAAAGTGATTTTTACGATCCGCTTAATCATCAAATAAGAAAACTTAAGAAACTTCATCCTGCAATTGTTTAACTCCCCCTCTTTGCTCATAATCTAAGCCGAGTTCTGCAAGGATCCATTTTCCCGTCAAACTTTCTCAACTACTCCGGTACTTGGTCTTGATATCTAATTAAAAACCTAATAGAGGAAGTACTCCTTACTGTTCGTAAAGAAAATTTTCCTTTATTAATAAGTCCCTACAACACTAGGACTCTAATAACTGAGCACCTAGGAATGATCCACTTCTATTAAGTATGAGATCGATCACCTGAATTTCCAGCTATTTCTGCAGCTGCAGGTTTCCAACCCATTTTGTTCACAAGAAAATTCATTTCACTCGCAAAGTTCTTCTCCGAGACTGCATGAACAAGGGATCCATTCCAAACGCCAAGAAGAAATCATCTTCAGTCCAACTGCACTTCCTATAAAATTCCACCCATTTTCCCCATTTTGATGCATCCATCATCAACATGACATGTAGCGCTTTCATGAATGGCGCAGACAAAGGTCTAAACCCCATGCTCAAGGCTTGTCAACATTTTCTAAAACTTCTTAGCTTCAAGAATCACTACAAGGATTTGTCAACCTTTAGATATTAGGACTGAGAACAGAACACCAAGGATTGACCCCTTTTCAAATCATAACAAAAAACTTGGCATTGAATACATCATATGTTGTGGCGTCGTGTGCGTGTATGTCCGTGTATATATATATATATATATAGACAGATACATATATAGATAAAAGTTCAAATGTAATGTTCAAAGTGGGGAAAGATTTGATCCTGTTAATCATCATCACATTAAGAACAAAATTAAGATCATTCGTCTTACAATTGGTTCACTCTGCCGCTTTCCTCGAACCCTAATCCCAGTTCCACAAGACCATATTCCCTTGATAGAGGATCATTAATTCAGGTATTTTCTCTTGGTACTTGATTCCAAACCAATCCAAGAAAAAGTTGTTAGTTCTAATCACCACGAAGGGCGAACTCCCAGACTCATGACCTTCTTTACAAAGAGATTGAGGCTTCTGGCACTTGAAGAGCTCTCAGAACTGAAACATTGGAAGCAATATTGCTTAGCGCTTTGGACGGCGTTACCCACTGAAAGCTCCTAAAGAAACGAGCAACCTTTTTGCTCTTGATGATATCATAACAAGGCATGATACTTCTCTCTAAGTTTCATTGCAATATTAAATCCGGGTTGCACCAGAAGACTCGAGCAAGGTCAGTGCCTGAAAATGTCGGTTTCGTTTAACCCATGGGCTTTGAGAAGATTGCAAATGGGTCACTGAACCGCAAACAACTCTACAAATTGGAAGCACTTGCAATCTTTACAGCAAGAATTAAGCATAATTGGATCGACCGAATACAATTAGGCAGAAAACAAATGCAGTAGTTGTTCTCGTATCGAACGAGAGAAGGGACTCACCGAATACAAATTCGACCGGGCAGTAATTAACTGTTGATGCATTTGCTCGCTTTCTAGTTACTACCAGAAAATCAGAGTAGTTGCAGGCCACATCATAGGCCCTTCAATTAAATAGCCACCACCAATGGTGCCTCCGTGGTAACTAGTAAAGTTAGTAACGCTTTGAGACGTAGCTTTCTTCAGCTTATAAAGAAAGTATAACTAGTGGCGGATATAGGATTATACTCGGGCCTCCTAGTGTAAAAAGTTTATTTAGGCGACAACAGCGCATGCAGCAAAAATTCAGAGAGTACCTGGAGGACCTTTACCTACGTTATTTAGATACAGCAACAACCAATGGATATTTGCATACATGCCCTTCAATTACATTGCCACCATATACCGGTTGTGATCCTTTGACACATAACTTTCTTATGTGTTTCCATATCTCCCATGACTAGTGCTAATGTCTAGAATGTAGCATTCTCTTCACTTATAAAGGACTTCAACATTGGCCACTAAATTTTGAGTTTAATTTCTATAAATTTAAACAAACCGATGTATGTAATAAGACAAAAGATTTGAGTGCAATAAGAGTGATTTTAATTGTTGAGTGTCATATATGGGTCTCATTAGTCAGATTCTTATAAAATATACTTACAATGCTACAACATAAGAACCAAACTCAGGTAGCTAGATCCTTTAAATTGAATTCATAGATCCTTGAAATTGAATTCAAACTCAAATAACAGTTGCGGAAGGGCTACTGGGAGGTCCAACTCGCATGAATGAGAGTTCAAAACCTAATTATAATTGTCTATCGTGCAACTTAACTCAAACTCTCTTGCCCCAATATTGTTGTGGAAAATTAGAAAATTCACAAGTTTTGAATTTCTTTTTTATACGTTTATTTTCTGATGTAATCTAAGCCATTGGATCATAGTCCAAGTGGTATCTTCTCTAGCCTAGGATTTAAGTGATAGATTATGACAAGTGTAATCACCTCATACGGTGATAGAATCAAAGGCTAGGATTTAATCTTGATGTAAAGTTGTTAGAGAAGAATCTCACCTCTCTCCTCTAACGGATATATTTGGTTAGTGGAGTGTGAAATACAATCAGAACCTTCATCACTCTCGCAGCACCATAGCTGCATTTTCTCTGCAATTTTCCTTCCTCCCAATCACTCAAAACCTTCATAAAACTAAATACCAAAAGCCATGAACTCTAAACAATGTAAGCCAAAAAAAAAAAAAAAAAAAAAACCCATTCTTTTAAAAATAAATCATTTAAACATTTTATTAAAAACTGAGGGCCCCACCTCCTACCAACTCTCATCCCCACTCTTCTTCCCATTCCATCCGTCACCTCCCCCACCCCTTTTTCCCTTCCCTCACCTCCCGAACCGGGGAAAGATAAATATACTCATACATTTCGTTTTCTCTTCAATATCTGTGATTAATACATTTTCCTTGAATCTTTCATGATAATAGTTTCCCACTTTTTCTTTAAAATATTTGAAAGCGCCGCTGATTTTACTTTTGCATTTATTTTGTTGTTAGGAATTGATATTGGGAGGTGTTAAATGGACCGTTGGGATTCGGTTTCAAGTCTCTGAGGGAAAGAATGAGACGGGTTTTTGATAAAAGCATTAGAAGGAGAATAGACAAGAAACCAGTATGTTGGATGCACAATATCAGTGATGAACATTTTTCCTTTTCTTTTAGAAAAAATTTGAAAGAGCTACTGCTTTCTAACGTGCTTAAATGCATGATTATTTGCAAAATTTTGTTAAGAATTTTGTACAGTTTGGATTTTTATTCCATAAAAATTGTTTAGACAAAGGGAACGAATTTCATTGTTAAGTAGTAGTCAAAATTTCAAATGACATTGTTGGCATATGAGTTGTTATGCATTTTGTGATTTAACTTATAATTGTAGATTATGGACTTTGTGTTTGCATAAGAATTTCTTACTGAAAAACTAATGAGTTATTTGATTATTTAAGATCTGGGTGTATCGATAATACT